TGTTACACTGGCTCCCCTGATGCTGAACTTGTGACACCAGTTTAATCAGATCTGGCTTATAGTTAGTCATCTTAAAACAAATACAAACAACTGAATTTTCAGTAATTAACTGAAAGAACTGATTTTCAGTAATTATTAACTGCTCTTGTTCTCTCTTAAAATAAAAATAAATAAATTAAAATAAATTTCACATCTGAAAATATTTGCTCATATTTATAAGTTGAAATGAATGCAGACAAAATGGCAAAGGCCTTTTGGGGGAGGATTATGGATTCAGATCGGTGTTGCCAAACTTATTTCTCGTTGAAATTACATTACAGTTTTTAAGAAAACACGTTTGTTACTGTAACTTAGTAACTAAAAAGAAAAATTTTACTGTTATTATTTATTTATTTTTCAAGCATTCATTTATATCCGTATTTTACAATTTATATATTATACTTTATTTTAACTCAAATGGGTCACTTGATTATGAAATTATGAAATGGGTTATGTGGTAACCTGTGGGTCATAGGTTGTCAAAGCCTGGCACAGAGCAAGTAATGGTAAATATCTTCTGCTATCACATCAAAAATAAAGAGGTTCATCAGCTCAAACAGCATCCATCAGGAGTTTGTCTGCCATTACTGAAGGGCAATGGGAATGATTGTACAGTATAACTTTCATAATTTTTTTTAAAATCATTTACATATTAGTGAACTCTCTTGTGATCATCACTTCTTGAACACAACTAAATCTGAAAGTGGCCAGTAGTTCTGAGAACATAAACATTTTTATTGAAAATCACCTCTCTAAAAAAAACTGACATAACAAATTAACAAAATTATCTACAACTTTTACTGGTTATCTTTGACAGAGTTCACGGTATTATGCTCATTATTTCCTGTAAAAGTTATACTTATGTTTCGAGGCATCTTACATTTCAATGGCAAATCTATGGACAGGTTGCAAAACAGAACATGTGAGAAATTATATACAAATTTTGAGATATATATCAAATATTACAGATGATTTTTTTCGGTTTCAGAACTGCATGAAAGCAGGCCTTTCCATTTGCATTAACTTAACAAATGCACCAAACATACAATAATTTAAACAAATTATTCTTTGCATTTTTTTCAATGTTACTTTTATAAATGCAAAATTATATCACAAAAGTGGAAATTTTGGAAAAATTTTTGTTAGTGCAAAGAGTAAATGCACCGACTTTTTTACTTCCATTTTAACCCTCTAAGCGGCAAGGCCATATATATATACGGCCTAGAATATTTATTGTGATATCTGCAAGAACGTATATATACGTGCATATTAAAATATGTCGACAAAATTAAGGCAATACATCAAAAGAAAACAAATCCAGTTATGAAATACCAGGAAAGGTTTTGCATTAAAACCAAAACAATAATTTGTTCTCATAGTAGTTTGGGGAAATTTTTGCTTTCTTAGCGAAAACCCTGGCCGCCCAGAGGATTAAAATATTAGAACCCTTAATTTTTTAACATGTTATCGAGTTTCTTTTCCTATTTAAAAAATTTCAGTCATGAGAGTCCGAAGGGCTGCAACTAAAAAGAGATGCAATTAATGATTTCCATGCACCACCTTTCAGCAGCTGCTCCTTTTCCCTCAGCAGTCCTACAAATAAAAGGCATGTCAGTGAGCTTTGCTTTTGGGTAACAATGTATACCCCTCAAAACCACACAAGGTACAAAAATTCATGAATGCAGAATGCTTTTATCTCCCATTCAGTAGTATTCTGTATCACCCCCAAAGCATCATTTGGGCACATACATTTCATTACAAAATCTGTTTACTTTGATTCTGTCCTCATATTTGGCAAATTTTTGCCAGATATTTTCTGAGCACCCTGTAGTTGATGGTATCCCTGGGGGTCGACTGGGACTGACCATCCCAGCATACTGGCTAGATCAGTATCTACACAGCCTCAATTTCTCAGGTAAATATATTGTTTTCACAGAGCTAGAGCTATCATTTATTTGGTGGTAGGTTCGGGATTGGCAGGGACCTGCCCCTTGGTTGTTGGGAAGTTATTGTAGTAATTTAGTAATGGAAGGAAATTCTTTTAAAATTTTGTGATAAGGTGTATCACTGAAGACAGTTTTTACTGAATAAATATCTGCATTTTTCACAGTCTACAGTGTGAAACTTTATTTTTAAATTTTTGAGACATCTGTTTCTATCAGGCACCAATTCAGAGAAATGGAGGAAATCTGCTCCAAGAATGGGTGTACTAACATTTGCTATAAGAAAAGTCCAAGTAAACTGTAATCCTAATTTGAAATCTAAAGAAAGTGTTTTCTGACCATAAACATGTATAGTTGAAGAATTAGCAGTGAGAAGTGTTTGTTGGGGACAGTTTTGTTTTTGTGAATTGTTTCCTGGAAATAAGGACACGTCAGAGCTGGTATCGACCAAGAATAAAACGTTTGTTCTCCAGTCATGAATGAACAGGCAATGTGAAATTTGAGGCAAAGAATAAGTCATCTCTATTCTTTGCTGGTTTCGTTTCCCTTCCATGAACAAGGTTTGATACACTTGTCTTCTCTACATCATTTTCCAAAATGTTTTTGATACCAGCAAACAGAATAATCTCTCCTTTAGGAACTGCTCCTTTCTTTATTTCGATCTCCACGATTTGGCGAGCAACATCGAGAAAAGGAAACACAATCAATATGTTTGTTTAATTTTTCTATTTCTTTAAACAATTTATCCTCAATAGATTGATTGACTGTATGAGAAACGACTCACTTCTAAGATTCAGTCAGCAATTTCTGTAGCTTTGTCTAAAGTTATATCGGAAACCACTGCCAAAATAGATTGAACTGGCGAAGGCATACGCTGAAGGAGTAATTCTAATATTAAGTTACTGGGAACATTTAAGGATTCCGCTTGTCGTTTCATATTTCTAAATAAATCCAAAGGTTTTCGAGAGCCTAATTCCTCTCCTGATAATAACCGGTGAATTTCATGCTGAGATAAATTCCCCCAATCAGTTTTAAGCTTTATATTAGGATACATGGTTTGATATTGAAGGTTGTCCTTGGAGGTTTGGCTCCCCTTTGTCAAAACTAGGGGATGGTCAATGTCAAACTTTGACTTCATGATTTTCAGTGGATGTGCAGCCATCCACCACCGACTTGTGATTCAAAACCCTGACTTTGTGAAACAAAAATTGTCCGGACCACCTCTAGGGGTTGGAGTGATTAACAGTGTAAGGTTGCCTTGAGCAAAGCCAGTCTGGGCGCCCCTTCCTCCGTGCACTGTATTTGATGGTCACAACTCTACTAGGACATAGCACAAAGAAACATTTTTGTTATACAGTGTGCAATGGAAAGCGAAATATAAATCTGAAAGCACAGTAAGTACAAGAACATGAACAACAAAAAGTTATTTTAATCTCACATATTTACAAGAAATAATATTTGACATTTTCAAGAATTTTTTAACTGAATGATCATCAGCATGCATCAAAATGATTAGCAAACACTTTTGAAGATGCTTGACATGTAATGCACTTTCACAGCAGCAATGCTAATTCAGACAAAACATGAAGAGAGTAAATATGTGTCTGTTCCCACTGTCATGCATTGATTGCAGTCAATTCATTTGAACATTCTTGTAACTATCAAACATTATTTCTTATGAATATAATAATTAAAATAAATATAAATGAACATAATTACTTTTGGCAGTATACAGATTATGTTCTACAAGCCCTTAAAGCTGTGACCATCAATTTGCATATATGATTAAGTATTATCACCCAGTAAATATCATTCAGTATTATTTATGACTTCAAATAAAGTTCAAGTCTCAAAAAGTATATTACTCTTGATATAGACTTATTATTCTATACATTTTACAAAAAAAGAGACTACTTGATCAATTAATATTCATAGTGCTTTAGAAAAACTATATTTATGATTTAGTAGAAACAAATTATTCCCATAAGACAGTGCTCCGCAACCGGTGTGCCGCGGCACACTGGTGTGCCATGAGTAGGATATAGGTGTGCCGCAATCAAATACATGTATTTGACATTTTGCAATTTTTTATCATTTATTTAATACACAATGACAATTTTTTTCCTTAATAATGTCTATTTTAAATGTTTTTATATATTTCACTGTTGTGTGATTGTAAGTTTATCAGCATTTGAATTTTTTCGGCACTTCCTTGATAACTCGGAACTCAAAAATATATAACTTTTTTTTAAACATAAATTTAAACGAAATATACTGGTTTCGGACCATTTTAATTAAAAATAATAGCTCTAAAACTTTTTTTTTTTGTGCGTCGCAGGTGAGAAAATGTTGCGGAGCACTGCCATAAGACATAGTTGCGGAGCACTGCCATAGACATTTCATAACTTTAGAAAGTTATTCCAGTGTATTACTAATTGCCTGAGCAAGCTTTTCCTTTTAAACCAAAAAATCAAATGAGAATAGAATAAATACAGTGTGGTTTAAAATCTCCTTAAAGTTAGAAACCCTAATCCAAAAAGGTTGTGTCTCCCCTTTATTTATTTAATTATAGGTACAGTATTAACATATATGACCCTTAAGCTATAAAAGAAAAGTTGAATAAACACAAATCTATATGACAAAACATGTTTATTGCCAGTTAATTGACAGCACTGATACAAATTTCATACTTAGTTATTTATGAAGTTGACACATAACTCCTATTCTCTTCTAACAGAAACCCTCTATTTTCGCAGAAGACACACAGTGCACAGATTGTCCTTTCTTCCCACCTCCCATTCACAGTACTCAGTAATCTGCCTTCTAATGCAAATGGGGCACTTCACAGAAAACTGAACATACATTTATTCCAAAATACAAAACTTGCAAACATTTCAAAATTTTTAGAGTAAATAAATATTTACAATAAGAGCTAGAGGACTTCTTAATCTCACAGTACTGTAAAATTATAATGTTAATAATATGAAGTTTTTTCATTAATGAAGAATCTTATTTTACCTCTGTTGTAGCTTCAATAGAAGCCCCATGCTTCAATAATAATTCAACTACTTTAATTCTGTTCTTTTTGCATGCTATATGCAAAGGCGTAAATCCATTCAAAGCTCTAGCATTAGGATCAGCTTTGCGATCTAGGAGAAGTTTGGCCACCTTTACATGACCACAGTGCGCAGCTACATGCAGTGCTGTAAGATAGTCCTAGAAAGAATTTTTATGACAAAATAAATCCATTATAAAGATTAACTAGAAGAAAAAAGCACAATTCTAAATTACATGCACTTATATTTTAACCAGTTTAAAGCAACCTTCGATTTATTTCATACTGTTTAAATTACATCAGACTTCAACAAATACTAATTTAATTTACACTTAAAATTTTAAAATATTAATTAAGAAAATCTTCTGTAAAAATAAAATAAAAATTAATGACTACAAATATAAAATACCAAATAAAAATTCTGAGTACACAAAAATTAGATGTCAAGAACAGATACTTTCATTCTTTTTATAAGAAAATGTCCAAATCAAAACTTCAAATAACACTAAAATGAATATGTTATGCTATGTATATTATCTATATAAATCTATATATAAGTCAATAATAAGTGAAAAGTTTAAACAGTTAATCTCATTTCATAATCAAAAAGTAAAGGTATTTTCACAATAAAATTATGACAAAAAAATTAATAAATTATTCACAATAAAACAAACAAAAATGAAATGCCTTATTCCGCATAAAATTATAATTTAGTTTACACAGATTTCTAAAACAAAAATATTTTAACTTAAATTAGCATGCCAGCATAAAATATTTTCATAATTCTGATTATTATGCTATTGGCGTTTACTTAGCTTTATGATATAAGAACTACCAAAGTATAAAAATATTTATGAAAAATCTTCTCATAAAAATAACTAAAATCCAACTTACAACAGTAACATCATCTACAGGAACTTTATGATACAATAAAATTCGAGCACTATCAACGTGATCACCCTGTGAAGCCATATGTAATGGTGCAAGCCCATTCTAAAAATAAAATTTTTAAAAATGGAGTGATATTATAAAAAACCACAAAAAGATTTGAATAAATGATGCATATTTAAAAAAATACATAACTATTAACAAATTTCTCATTTTATTTATTTTTTTCACTCAATTTTGTTTACGTTTTCATTCTTCTGCTCATAAGAATTTACAGATTTTATCATGGAAAGTACTGTAATAAGTTGTATGCAATTTTTTAACATTAATTTTGCTGGTTTTCTTTTCTCCACACTGACATAAAAGCAATAATAAAACAGCATAAAAGCTTTTCCTTAACACTGACATAAAAGCAATAATAGTATGCTTTTAAAGGATGCTTAATACTGGGACAAAAACCTTTTTTTAAAAATTTCCTGAGAAACCGTTTCTTGCTATCTTGAAAAGTGTAAAGGTATTGACATTCATCAGAAGATCTGTAAATTAGTTAAAAGAAATAACCAAATGTTTTCATATGAACAAATTCATTAAGGAATATGGTATAATACTGCATTTCTAAAATAAATCTAAGATCTGAAACTAGCCACAGATTTTGTAGATGTTATTATTATATTTAACAATTAAGAAATTTGATACACTTGTGGAACAGAATACCCGAGTCCAGTTCACATGCACAATCCATATAAAGTTTAAAATAAACTTTAAAAATTTCATAAAACACGTGAACATACAATAAAGTAATAGAAATCTAAATTACTTATAGTTAAAATACCGACTCAAATTTATTCCAATAATTCATCAAATTAATTAAAATTATGTTCCTTGGAGATGATATATAAAAAAACTTTTCTAATAATAAATTATACATATATGCTACGGTGAATCACCAAAATCTAGAGAATGTCAACATTCACAGTCTCTTGGTGTATGTCCGATATATTTTCCAAATACTCTTATTTCTGACTTACACCGGTCAATGTCGACATTCACCATGTACTAATGGTGAATGTTGAACATATAACAATATTATATTTTCTTCTCCGTAATTCAGTCATGAATAAATGCACTTGAGACTTGAAATAAGAACTTAAGAACATGAGAACCTAAAACACACAATACATTCAAAATGAGAAAGGAAAATAATAGAAGTTAAAAAAACTTAATTAAATACAGTACGTTCTAAATGAGAAAAAAATAAACAGTAATAAAAAACTTACTAAATTATGTGATTCAAATCTTATTTATTGCAACAACTTAAACTATTATGGCACTTTATGATCTCTCTTTTCATACACCAGAGCATATCTGTGATTTGCGACATACACCGGTGAGGGTCTGAATATACAAGAATATAGTGTAATATTCGATCTTCCACCAACGTATTTGGTGAATGTTAATATTCTCCGGTGAAAGTCGACATTCTCCAATTTCAGGTCTTTCACGTTAACATATATATGTAGATAAAATAGAGCAGATATCATTAAGATCACCCTATGCATCATATGTAATTACAACAATATAATTTTAAGGAGGAAAACAAGTTTACCTGTTTACATGCAAAAAAAATATCTGGAAAGAAAATTATAGATGAATGGTGCACATACAGAAACCTGCATTTTAATCCACATTAATTTAAGCAGAAAGTTTTATATATAGCAGCCATTATTGAAATATTTCTATTTTGATAATTCTATAGAGAAAAATTAAGATCCTTGAATATTAACTGGGGAATGCTTATATTACATAAATCAAATCCATAGAATAATAACAACAGAAAATATATCAGGCTGCTTCACATCTAAATCTATTGAGTATGATGATTGTATCATAATAAAAAATTAATATTATGATACAAATGTATAAATTTACAACAAAGTTGGCTACAAATGGTAGCCATGCATATAGGCAAATGGCTCACAAGAGATTTAATAAACTTCTATATTAAAGACAATCCAGTGTTTATGCTCCATTAATTTTTCCACATGCTCAAAACTGTGGAAATTTAAAATGCTTAAAAAGTTATTTTCAAAATATCAATACAATACACCAAAATGTTTTGTGAAATAATCTTCTTTAATTGTCTTGGAACTTGATAAAATATCTTTGGATTTGGAAAAAATATAATGCAGCAACACAAAATCACCATAGGCAGATAAAGAGATAATTACAGGGAGTATGTTTTGCTGTTGAATGCATTTCCACACTTTTATAAACAACACTCCAGATCAGAACATAATTTCTAACCTCAATTCATGTCATTTTCTGGAGAAAATTATCCAAAACCATTAGTATTATTTCTTTATACGGACAGATCTTTAGGAAATGCACTGCAAAAATTTCAGATGTATTCCGTATGTTTGGCATCTCATTAGAATACTCAAATCCTGATGATGATGCCCTAAAACAAAAATTATGCTGATACATGCAGTTGCAAAAAACAAATTTTATTACATAAGCAAGAATCAACAGGAAACACACACAGTCAAACATTTTTATCTCACTTTTTGTTTATCAAACTTGTTTGTTAAGACTCAATCTAAATAGTCAACATCATAAAAAAATAACTGATAAGGTACACAGATATATGTTTATTCACATATAAAATAAGTAAATTGAAGAACATTTTTTTGATTCTTCATGGTTAGAAAGCTTACAAGGCAAACAGCAAAATGAAAAAAAAAAAAAAAAAAAAATTACGCTTTTGAATATATCGCACAATTTTGCTACATAATTCAGTGATTTTTTCTTACTGTTTAAACATCAGAATAAGAATATATATATATATATAATCACAAAAGGTGATCTGTTTTACACATGAATATCACATAATGCTTAATGACCATGATTTCGAAATAAGCTGTTTTTAAAAAAGTACTGCATATTATATCATCAATAATATATCATTCATGTTATACATTACTTTTGTTTTAGCCAGAAATGGAGCACCCTTTTCAAGTAGCAAATCAACAACTTGGTCATGACCACTGCGAGCGGCACAATGCAAAGGTGTAAGGCCATCCTAGATTTAAAATATAATATTAATTTTAAAAAAAAAGAGTAGTTTGCTAAACCCATCTACAATTAACAAATACACAATGATAGACAATTAAATAAAAAAATTAATTCCTGAGAAGTAAATTTATAAATCAATTTTACATAAATATACAAAATAACAGAATAACATACCTAATGATGTTGCAAAATACAAATACATTAAGAAATTAACATTTGAACTTTAATACAGTTATCAGTTTCATTTTTCTACAACATTTAATAATAAATTCAAAATTTAAAGGATATAGAAGGAGCATTTGTGTTTAGAACATGATTACTGCAATCTGCAATGAAAGCCAAATTAAAGTATATGGGCAAACTCTAGCTCATAAGCATTGAGTGTAAGCAAGCTAACATAATACCTTAAATCCTGAGAAAAACATTTACAACATTGTACAGTCAGAGTTCTTAGTGCCTATTAATGCTGGTCTAACATTCAAATGCAACCTTCAATGGGAATGAAAATGCCAATCTAAGGTTGCCGTCACTTAAATGAATTATGGCAGACAACTGGAAATATTTGAACCATATTTTACCTACAAAAATTATAACAGGAAAAATCTAATGCTTCTGATATATTCTGCTGCAAAATATTAACAGGTACATTTGAATTAAAGTACTGAAACCAGAAAACACAATCCTCTTTTAAAAATCTTCTAGGACCTATATCTCAACAACAAGTACATTTTTTTTTCTCTTTATAATTATTGAAGGCATATGACAGAGCAGCATCATATGAAGAAAGTGATTACAGTATTTCAGCCTTTTAAGGTATAACTTAAATACTTTTGTCTATAAAAACATACTTAGTACAGAACAAAATCGAACATCTAGAAATGTTGGAAATCGAAGAGTCTGAATTTACAGATTTTTAATACATCTGTTTAAATCTACTAAGATGATATGTAGACATGGCAGCATTGGAGTTTCACTTTTTGTTTAGGTCAGACAGAAAAATGTTGACACTCCCCAAACACAACGAGTCAAGCATCAACATCAAAACAACATCATTCAACATAATGGTGCAATTCTCTAGTAATTTGAAAGTGATACACAAGAATCTCAGTTAGTCCGAAGAAACATCACATTTTAGGGCACTTTTGTATCTAAAAACATACTTAGTACAGAACAAAATCGAACATCTGGAAATGTTGGAAATCGGAGAATCTGAATTTACAGATTTTTAATACATCTGTTTAAATCTGCTAAGATGATATGTAGACATGGCAGCATTGGAGTTTCACTTTTTGTTTAGGTCAGACAGAAAAATGTTGACACTCTCCAAACAAACTAGTCAAATATCAACATCTTTCAATGCAATGGTGCAATTCTCTAGTAATTTGAAAGTGATACGCAAGAATCTCAGTTAGTCCAGAGAAGAATGACATTTACAGCACACCTTACTTTTTTTTGTTGAGTATCATATTCTGCACTCCTACACTTTATAAGAAAAAATAGAGGGTGGGAAGATTTATTTATTTATTTTGGTGCTAGTGATCTGGATATTTGACCATGCCACAAACTGTGTGGTCAGATTTCAGACTTTGTACTGTATTAATTCTATATTGACAAGAAATTATCATATTCACAAGCCAGTCCTTTAAATTTATATTTGTAGATGGTGCTAATATTTTTATATTATCTTAAGATATCCACATTGTTAGCTAAATTACTCTAAGCAAAGTATTGTGTTTAATAAATGTCATTTAGAAGAATGCTCAATTTAAACAATAAGTCAATTCAAACATTTAAAATCCAATAGTGAAAAATAAAACATTTGAAGTTTTAAACAGTAAAAAAAACCTTTCAGATGTTACAAAACATTCCTATAAATTCTGTGTTTCATTATGCATATCTTAGTAGAAAACACTATTATACCCTTGTGGCAGCTTCAATATTGGCCCCATTTTCAAGAAGTAAAACAACCATGTTCATTTTTCCCCATTTGGAAGCTACATGAAGAGGTGTAATTTGGTGCTATAAAATATAACAAAAATTTTTATTAATAAATAGTATTTATAATAGTTAACTATTTTGAATTATTTTCTTTCTTAGTTAAATATAACTAAGAAAGAAAAATAACAATCCATATCAAATTGTAATGTTTACAATAGTTAAATGAAAGAAAACATACATACTATTTAACATGATTAAAAGTGATATCTATTTTCTTTAACTAAACCTACTCTAACATTGAAATGTAGAAGTTATGTTCATATTTACTTTAGCAGCATAGTTCACATCAGCTCCTTTATTTAAAAGAATTTTAGCAATGCTTTCATTGCCATAGTGAGCAGCTATGTGTAAAGGTGTAAAACCACTCTGAAATAAATCAAGAAAACATACACTATAGTGTGTGCTTTTCAAATATATCCATTGCTTTATAAAATGCATCATCAAACATTATTGGCGATTTAAAAATAAATAAACTACATGATATTTGAAAAAGAAATGCAATATATATATATATATATATGTAAGGTAAAAAATACATAAATCAAAATTATAATTTAAACTAACAGTAACTCTCTCTCTCTCTCGGTTCTAAAAATCGGAATAACTTCTCTCGAATGCATCATTTCTAAGATCTTTCCTTTTTGTATGGCCTGTGCAGTGCTGATGATGTAATAATTGTAAACTGAAACTTTTAACTCAAACTAAAACCTTTCTCTTCATGAACTTCCATCTTGCATAACTTCACACTTCAGCTTCTGTCTCTGCTCTGCTTGGACGTAATTTCACTATGCTGCTTCTTATTGCAATAATATCAAAAATGTGAATGTTCTTGAATAGGCACAACTCGAGTGCCAAATGAAATGTGGCCACAAATATCAATTAGAAAATAAAAAAAGGAATTAAAACTGCCTTAACTGCCAAGTTCTTTAGATATTAGCAAGTCAACATATTAGCATACTATGCAATCAAAATGCTTCCTCTTCAGTATGGATCTATGATCTTATCTGGGTATTATGCATCAACAATGTTCCGGTGTTCCTTGCTGCTATTATTACATGTATATATATATATAAAGCATCTAAAATTAAACTGGAATCAAAACAAGGCAATTCCCTAATAATATTAATAACTGCAACTATTGGTAAAAGGTCTAGCATTGTAGCAAACATAATCAAAATTAATATTATAATACATCAATAGAATATTAATTTTGCAATTATTAATATTATGAGGGAATTGCCTTGTTTTGATTCCAGTTTAATTTTACTCCAAGAGTATATTAGATTTTTAATTTTAGATATTTTATGTTTAATTTACTTCAATCTTGCAGCTACAGTACAGGACAGGTTAAATTCTTGTTTTTGGCATATTATTTTAGTATATATATATACTTAATTTTTGAATTATAATTTGTATGTCTATATATACACACATACAAATTAGAATGCAAAAATTAAGCACAGTTGGCCATTTTTGCATCATCTGTGCAAGAAATCAAATGGAAGTTACAAAAATCAGAAAACAGACATGGTATTTTATACTTGAAGAAAAAACAAACTAGCTCAAAAGTGAACAGAATGCAGACAGGGTGGATTCAAACAGAAAAAGTTTATAGAAAGAAAAACATTGATATAAATTAGTGTCTTTCCAAATCTATTTAATAAGGAATATGACCTCCTGTAACCAGAACAGATGCAGGGCATCATCTCACCATACTTGTAAGATCTTTATTTTATTCTAAGCAATTATTTTTAGTTTTTCTTACCTTTTCCCCCTGATTTCAGTTTTCTGCCAGAATGTAAATTTGTTATGACATAGATGCTAATCTAAACGTGCTTAAGAAACAGTATTTAAGCTGCATTTCAAGAGTTCGAAAAGAGTAGTACCAAACTTGATTCCAAGTTTATGCTGCGTGTTTGAAATTAGATCTCTAGTCGGTGTCAGACACCTTTCAGTTTATACTGATATTTCTAGGTTAGGCTTTGCTGTGTGCAGCCAATTTAGCATAAGTTAAGCAGCCAGTCGTCAGATATCTTAATTTGTTAGTGATTTGTTACATTCTTATTTTCTATTAAATTTACACCAAGTGTGTGCATCTGTTTTAATTTAGTTTAAATAAAAAGCTTATTTAACCCCTTAACTGCCGCGGGCGTATATTACGCCTTGCTCAGCCGATGCGTTAACTGCCCCAGGCGTATATATACGTCCTTCCAAACTGCTATCATTTGCTTTGCACTGCTACACCTAAAATTATTCGCAAAGTTAACGCATCGGCTGCGCATCTGGGGGGCAGTTAACGCATCGGCTGAGCAAGGCGTATATATACGCCCGTGGCAGTTAAGGGGTTAAAACTTTCTTCTGCAGTATTTATTCTTCAAGACACATAGCGAGAATTCACTTACATAGGGTCTGAGTATATGCTACCTAAAAAGAAACCTGAGACTCAATATCAGATAACTGAATAACTCTTCAAGTAAGAAAGCCAATTCTTTGATCAGCACCTGTTTCAGTTATTTGGTATTTGCCAATGGATGGTGGTAATTCCGAGAGGCATCTTTCCAAAGTCTCCCACACATGATGTATAAAATTTAAATCAGAGAAGCACACTGGTCAATCCATTCGAATGATACCTTAACTTCCTATCAGCTCTTTCACAGTATCAGTCTGATGTTTTCTGTCATTATCATCCATAACAATAAAAGTCTATTTCAACCACTTCTTCTACGAGAATCACATGGAAAAGGACTACTACTCCAGAACAGTGATATCTCTTAATGGTATGTTTGTCAAAAATATACAAGTCAGAGAAGACGTTCCATATAATTGGGCTTATCAGACATCCCGATTTTGACTGAGATTGTCCTCTTTTGATTATGTGGTCCCTGCATCACAGTCAGTTTTTCATTTTATCCTGGCTATTTGGTAAAATGTTAATGTGATGAATATACAAGAAATAAAAATAGTACAGCCTCAGCTAAAATGGCAGTTTGCCAATTAAAATATCTTCTTTACTACACTTACTCTTACTACCCTAATTATTTTGTATCTAGATATAAGTGCTTTCAATGTTTTCTAAGAATACTTTCAATGTCCAAAATTATAGTACATGGTTTCTTAACCAGGAAGGAATGCCCCCTGGATGTAATTTGATAGTTTCAGGCAGGGAGAATGCAGTCAGCCTTTTATTTAACTGGTAAGTATTTAGTTTTAGTTTATGAATGTAAAAATCTATTGTTATTTCAGTTTTGCCATCTATCAATATTTTCTATACTTTTTGTTACTTAATTTATAAAAGCACATTAAAATATAATTAAAATCTAAATGTATATGTATTTTTTAGTTTGAAAAACGAGGGGAATGATCTAGCAATGGTGAAAGAGTGCACGGAGCAAAGCAGGCTATGAACCACTTTTATAATATGTGACCTAATCAATTTAGATGCTTTGTTTTTCACTCAGATATTTTTTCATAGAATTTATAGTAGCATGTAGCCTACGAGATCCAGCTATATTTATTTAATTTTTCAGATTTTTTTGTTTCAGGTAGAGTTGGCAACATTAGGACTCGGGCCATGTCTTTGATGCTATCTCTTAGCTGAGTTCATACTGCGAGTCAACATCTAGGATTATTTCATACTGTAGATTGAATTAGAAAATCTTCAAAATGTACAAAAGAAGCAGTATGTTTACTAATGAATTATTAAAAGGAATTATCATCTGTGAAAAAAAGTTAATAATCGTACTGACAAAAGTGAAATGTGAACTGCGCTTTTCAGAGTTTTCAGCAGCTCATGGTGGGTATTTGGACATTACAAAACACAAAATATATGAAACATAAGGCAAGCCTATTAGCAGTGGAAAGAGCTTCCTCAAATATATTTTCATATTTTAAAAGTAGTGATTTAAATGACAAAGCATTCTTAGTAGCAGCTAAAGAAGCAATGTTGCTGTTCACAACCTTAAATCAGCAGACTGTTCATCTAAATTTAAGTATTTCAAAGCTCTTTGAAACAATGTTTAGACTAGCCAGAATACAATGTAAATCCATCATTGTTCTGAGCCACTGTTGTTTCAGCTGCTTTGTGAAAATTTATATAAAGCAAATTTTGTGATGGTGTTAACAGGTTCTTCCAGCAGAAAAAAAAAAATTAAAACTGTGCCAGTTGTGCAGTCTTATTGTGCAATAAAAGTTATTAAACTCTTAGACTTTCAATTAGTTATGCACAGAAACTGCAGAAATACTAACAAACCATTTAAAATCAGTTATAGAAAAGCAATATATATATACATTGGATTTTGTGGAGATTTACAGATGTTAAAACGTAAAAGAGCAAATAATATTTACAATAGATTGAAGAATAAAACTAGGATGAAATACTGTTGACATTGGCTGCGATGCTCACATCGTACATAGCTACCTTCAAAGTGCAGTTAATGTTCTGCCTACTGAAACAGAAGCTTTAATCAATAAAATTGATAAACATTTTCACATTTATATGAATAGACTCACTAAACTAGAAGAGTATTTTGAATTTGTAGTCGTAGAATATAAAAAGGTTCTTCAATATGGCAACACCTGTTTTCTTTCACTAATTCCAGCTAATGATAGAATACTTGAAGTTCTAAATCGTATTTTATTTACAAAAACACTAATCAGTGATGATAAAACAATATTTTAATAATTATTGTGGTGAAAATGTATTTGTATCAGAGCTTACAGTCTTATGAATATGGGAATCATTTTCACTAAGACAATACAAATCTTGGCATTCGCCAGCGACATTTTTTTAGTGGGTAGATTCAGAAAATATATCATAGAATCATTGAATTTACTAGAAGCTGTGGCAAGAAAATTAGGCCTAACCATAAATGAAGATAAAATATTTTGAGAAACTGCCCATAAATCAACTAATCTGTCGCCATTGACTGTGAACAACTACACTTTTGAAAATGTCGCACAATTCAAATATCTTAGAACTATTATCACTAATAATAATGATTTATCTATGGAAATTAATAATAGACTTCTCATTACAAATAGATGCTATCATAGTCGTAAAAATCAGTTCAAATCTCGATTTATCTGCCGTAATACTAAAGTTAATATATATAAAACCCTTTTATGCCCCATCATAATATATGGCTGCGAGTGCTGGGCAATGACTAAAATAACTGAAAGTAAACTACTGATCTTTGAACATAAAATACTAAGAAAAATATTTGGTGCTGTTTGTGAAAATGGTGTTTGGAGATAAAGGTATAATCATGAAATCTAATGAAAATTTAGACAGCCTGATATTGTCAAGGTCATAAAATGCCACAGGATTAAATGGTTGGGTCCTTTATGCAGAACTAAAGACTCGTATTTATCAAACCTATGGGAGCTAGAAAACAAGGAAAGCCACCAATTAGGTGACTTAATGCTGCAGAGTATGACATTAATACCATACATAGGGTAGACTGGAGAAGTATTGCCATGAATAGGTCCAGATGGCATAGACTGATTGAGACGGCCTAGGCCAGCAGTAGGCTGTACTGCCTCAGAAGAAGAAATGTATTTGTGGTTTGTGCAAAAGCAAAGCAAATTATTTAATAAAGATATTTTTATTACCAAAAGCACAAAAGTGAGTGCATCTGATATTGTCAGTGAAACTGGAAAATTAAAAACAAACCCTGAGGAAAGACAATAAATTCATGCCTCAAGAAGGAAAGTAGAAAAAAACAGATTATAAAATAATGGAATTATTAATATGAATAAAATCTTACATGAGTATTTCATGATCGATCTTGTATAGAGTTTTATGATCAATCTTATATAGAGTTATGGGAAAACAGTTTTGGTGGAGGAGAATTTTTCACTTAGATAAGTAAGAGTGCATTTAACATAGCCTCAAACTGAAGTTTCAGGTGACAAAATTAATGAAACTATCACAAATAATACAATAAAAATAGATCACCTTTTTGATAAAATAATGACTGCAAACAGTAGTCATTGATGAAGAAGTGACTGGTTAACAATTTATCAGATTTGGAAGAATAAGAGTTGTGAAAAAACATGGATACAACTTTTCAGTCATCTCAAAAAAAAAAAAAAAAAAAAAAAAAATTCATTGCTTAATATTTTTTTCCCAGGTACCAGAATACATTTTCATCATGCCAGGTACATTCACTATTTGAAAGAGTATTCTCAATAATGAATACCATATGTTCTGAAGAAAGAGGTAAAATGACTGAATCGACCATAAAAGCTTTACTGAGCTGCAAAATTAACAGTGAACTAAACTGCACTGAATTTGAAATTTTGACACCCTTAAAAGTAACAAAGAATTTTTACAGAAACATCACACTAGTGATAAATACTAATAACTTAAGAATTATGTTTAGCTTAGTTATTATCTTGTATTTTGCTAATTTCTTTATGTAGCCTTTTCAATCATAGGTACATTTCTTAATAGGTTTTATTTTCTGTTGTCAGTATTTTCTCAAAATTGTCCTGGTTGAAGCAAACAATATTATGTCAAGCCTAAATATAATATCTACTTTGATGAGCACATCGGGCCTTTGATAATGATTTCTCTTCCTGATGCTATTGGACAGAGCCGTACCTAGGGTTTTCAGCGCCCAGGAACACTTGAAGATTTTGTGCTCCATTCTGTGTGCCAAGAATGGAAAATATTTCATTCTAAAATTTCATAACATTAATTTGATGCCTCCTAGATGCTGCACCCGGAGACAGATGTCATCCCTTACCCCACCCTAGCTACACCACTACTACCGGAATGAAACTGAGTCCCCACCTCTATCCATATCAGCTGGTGTTCAAAATCATTCAAGACTTTGAAATGACTCTCACATGTGAAAATAGCAAGATCCATAATAATTACTTACAGATAATACTTGATGTCCTACTATCATATGCGGATATCGGTCTCTTTTTATTTGCAGAATGTTAGATTTTTCTTTATTACTACCCCATTCAATTTTTGTAAATATCATCAAATTATTGATAAATTGCCAACACAAGCCATCTTCAAATGACTGATAGTCTTAATGGTTATCAAAATGTTAGCAATTCATGATTACTCATAATTTTCTTCTCATTAGATGATCTCAGAGCATGTCACACATTAACATATGTTCTTCTTTTTAAAAAATATTTAAAATGCTTGATTTAAATGGAAGTGAAAAAGATGCTCTATTTTTCTTTCAAAAAAGATGTATTTTGATCTGCATTGAAATATACAAAAATGGCCATTAAATAAAACTACATAGGGAAATGTTATGAAAGGGATATGTTATGAGAACCTGATTTGGTACTGATATCAGCTAAGTGGTAGAAGCGACTCAGCTTATAAAAAATACATCTATTAACTAGAACAGTTTAATGAAAAGTGTATTCCCTACATCTAATCTGAAAAAACAAATAAGTAAATAGATGGCCCTGAAAAAACTGTAAACATAAACAAAAGTCTATTCGTATGGGAAAAAACAAAGCCAACAGATTTCTTTCACAATACTGGACATTTAATGAGTTAGGCTGACAAATTGATGAATTTTTTCTCACACAGGTTCCAAAGAGAAAGAAAAACCACAGCATGACAAAAACCATTAACCATATATAAGATCGATAATTTAATCAGATTGTTGCCAAGTATGTAAAACAGATGAACTGGGAAAAGCAAGTTAAGAAACATTTTGCTGCAAACCAAAAATTTCGTTTTCTTGGTCAAACAACAGCTGCTCATACAAAAAATGTTGAAAGACCATGGTACTCTGGTAAAGTGGCAGAATAAAAATCATTGTAGAGCACAGTTCACCATCATCATGAGTCTTATACTGCAGAGTTAATGAGACACTCATTTTAAAAAATCTATAATAAAATATCTAACTAGCATCAACAATAATTACACAAAGTGTGCCATTTTTATCGCATTTACATTTTCCCATGAAATTATACATAATGCATGAATTTTCATGAAAAAATATACCCAGAAATTTTACATACAATCATGCAGTTAAACATTAAGTATATGACAACACATCCATGCTAATATTATATTAATAATGCACTGAAACTTATGCTTTTTTATAAAAAAAAAATCCTGTAAAACTTTTTCTCTTGAACATGAATTAAAGCAAAGAGATAAAAGATGCTGTCACTAAAAAAGGGCCTTTTTTTCCTGAACACTCTATATGCACTAATACATTTAGCATATAAGGAGTTTTCACATAAAAGTGAATTTCAATGATGTCAAGACAGAACTTAAGATTTTGCTTAAAGTCAGGAATCATAATTTAAAAATTATATCAACTCTACATCTTGCAGTTAAAGTTAACAGAAGTATTTTACTTGTCCAGTGATCTCGAGAGCAATTCAATGCTCCCAAAGTCTAAAGGATTGGAATTCTTGAATCTAGCACACGGGAGCTCTTTTGCACTAATGGTAGAGAATTTGACTCGCATAAAACAGACCTAGGCGCTGTTGCATTTCTCACTGGTGATAATGGATAGTGACATGAGCAATTCATATGATCCCTACACTTGGCATAATAAGATATAGTTATTGTAAATAAAGTAGAATATTAAAGATGTAATTGCATAATTATTAGACTTACATGACCAAAAAATTTTTCATGTTTATTATCCATATGTATAAAGAATGAAAGCAAACCTTTGAGGTAACATCTGGATTGTGATCACTTTGTAAAAGTAAAGTTGCAGCTTTGCAGTCATCTTTTTTGGCAGCAATGTGCAAGGCTGGTAATCGTACTCTCCCTTTGGTATCATTTTCTAAAAGAACAGCAACCACTTTATCATGGCCTTGTTGCAATGCTACAGCTAATGGGGTGAAACCATCCTAGAAAAAATTAAATATATTAGCAAATATAAATCAGGACTACCATAAAGAAGAGTAAAAATGCATAATAATTAAATAGCCACCCCCATTAAAATAAGAGACACTAAACAAAGTGATAATTTTCATAGCTAAATTGATCAAATATTTGACAGTGGTGATAAACTAAAAGTCCAACACAAGAAATTTCACTAAACACATCAAAAACTTCAAACATCTAAAACGTCTTTTTATAAAGCCAAGTAAAAAGAAAATTAAATTTATTTTTAACTTTTAAAACATAATTTTTTTAAATACCTTTAAAGAAATACTGTAACCAATTAAAAATTAATTGTCCTTAGAAGGTTTTTCATGTACAATTTTCATATTATTTTCTCCAAAAAAATCAGCATTCCATTATTTAAATTTATTAATATTCATAGCCTTTAAAAAGGACTGTAAATGTTAAAAACAAAATCTGAAAGTATTCAAAATACTAGGTGAACCAAGAGAAGTCTTGCAGTTTCAGATGCCTCAAAGTACCCTTTATCAAGATTGATACATAAAAACACTCAAACAACAGCCTAAGTCTTAAAAACAATTTAAAGTATTTGAAAGATTCAAAGACTTCATTTAATACTTCTCTCAACTTTCACTCAAAGTCACACGTATTTCTGCATATCTGTTCTCCATCTAATAAAATAAAAAATTGTTTTATAAGTACAATGATTGAGACTTGCTTTTCACAATCCTTTCACAATCAATATCTTTTGATTCAGATTTCAACCCAAACTGCATGCACAGCTTTGCCTAGCTGTTGAAATTTTACTCATTTGTGCATCTCTCATGTTTAATTTCGAATCCAGATTTCAGGTCTCATAAATTGTCTTTGATGCTGCAAATTTGCTCTGAAATTTGGTTCAACAGTTAAATTTTAAAATTAAAAATTACAATAGAATACCACATTTTAAATTAGCTTTCTTAATACAGGAAATCTAGGGCTTAGAAAGATAAGCAAAATATTAAATATAAGACTAAGAACTTATTTTATACATGATTAAAGCTTGGTTATTGTAAATGATCAATCTGTAGTATTTTTTAAAGGAATAATAAAGTGGAACTTACATATAACAGAATGTAATTTAGATAATTATGAACAAGTAGATTTAAAGACAAGTCAAACAAAAACAAATTCCATACGAATAAATAGTCACCAAGAAAAATGAATGTTTGATGTATAAAAAAAGGAACATAGTATATAAGTTAATTGAATATATTTCATTAAAATTTTCATCACTAAAATATTCACTCATTATATATTTATTTCCTTTTCTGAACTCTAAGCATAAAACTGCTACTTTCATTTTTATTTAAATATGAGTTGGTAAAAGTTTCAATCAAAATGTAAACTCATATACATCATTACATTCATACAAATAATTTAACTCATTAGCACTTAACAAGTATATATTTTTGTAACAGTCATATGAAAGTCTGCTTTTTTTTTCTACATGCAGTTTTTCACAGTAAATCATGGGAGGGCTCACTTTTCTGAATAAAAATTGGACTGCATTTATATGATACACAGCCATGAAAGTCAGCCTTGTAGGCAACCTAATCCAATACAACTGTAAACTGAAATCCTAGTAAACAGTAGTCACTGCAAAAAAAGTGATTTTATTCGGTTACTATTGGCAGATTTATCAATATAAATTTAAAACAAAACATATTTTTTCTTCAAATTGTATTTTGATCAATGAATAAAGATTCAAATATTGTTTGAATATCTGCAGAAAATTTCTGCTTATTAAATCTGTTAATTTATGTGTTCAAGTTGCACAAAAACTGTCTTCTGCCTATTTTTTAACTTCACAGTTTAATTTTAGAATTACCATATTTAACATATTCATACAGCAATAACATAGTATAAATGTAAAGAGAAATAATGAATCTCTTTAGATCCATACTGATGCCATTATACAAAATGTTCCCAATAATACATGAATATTAAATAGGATTTTAAAAAATAGTTCATCTCTTGAAACTCTACAGCATTCTATAGTCAGATTTTCAAATCACAATTTTCAGTTAGTTTTGTGAAAATTATTGCTTTCTACATGGCATTCTGAAAATACATTAATAAAAATTAAATAAAAAATTACAAAAAAATCGGTACTATTCCATTTCGAGGACCGAGTAAAAAATTTCAGCGAAAATGTATGCGCAAAAGCGCCAAATCTAGCTTACGCGCTGATTTCAAATAGCGTAAGTTTAGGTAGTTCTATATTTGTTAAGACGCCATTGAAATACTAGTTTAATTTTTAAATTCTTTTTTGATATTTGATTTAACAATTTGGGAATTTCCCATGACGAAAAGTCTGCAATCCATGTACACATCGACCTATTTTCACTTTAAAAAAAAAATCCCAGAATTGCACAAAAATGGCACTGCGCCTATTTCACTTAAAAAGTAAAAGAAATTTGACAAAAATCCAACTGTTTTTACCCTTGTAAAAAGCGCCAAACAAATAAGTGGACGATTCTGCACTTTACCGAGAATTTTTCCAAAGAAAAGGCATCATTCATTACGGGAAATTATGTTTGAACAACCATCGAGATGAAATTATGCTTTAGTGATAACTCTCGGTAGCGAAAGAGCGATGTAGAAATCCGTTCAGTTATGTTTAGTTTTTTTTTTTTATATATAAATTATAATAATGATTTCAAATAGTTATTTACTCTTATGCTTCCATTCAGGGAAGCACTTCCGCAGAGAACCCGGTAAATGTAAACATCGCCACCTTTGGCGATAATAGTTCAAACCTGGTAACCCAGCCGATTTATCGTATTCGCTTGTTCGAAGTTTGCAACCATTTCTCTTGCGTTCATTTTGTTGAAATATCACTGTCGTTGTTCGCATTTGCAGATTTACATTATTCTTCTCTTATTTATTATTATTTTTTTTTTTGAAATTTTTAACAACGAATAGATAGAAATATTTTCGTAGATAGAGGCCAGTTCTCGTTTCGGGATGAAAGGAAGAAAATACGGCGGGAGGGGTGAATGCTAATTTGTAACAACGGCTGTTCACGTTGTGTGTTCTTAATTATTAACAGCTCTTAAGAACCATGAGCAGAATCATGAGGTTTCCAACCTCTAAAATAATTTGTTTCCGTAGGCCGCAAAAATATGCATGTGCAAATTTTAAATAATACTTTTATTTTTATTATTGGTTATTGTCATCTAAAATTATGAGAATAAATCAATTTTTATGGCGTAAAACTTTAACAAGATAATATATTGTTAATGCTATTAAATTGAAATAAAAAAAAATATTATTGATTATCTAAGATGACAGAATAGTTTGATGCATCACCATGGTCATCAAAATTAGCAAACCACTGCTGATGTAAGAAATATATTGTTTTCTGTGTTAATTGGAATTTAAGTCAAATTTTTTTCGTTTCTCACGTTTAACCGGTTAATTTCAATACATTAATACTAATTTATATTTTTAAATGAATTTTTATTTCCGTTATAAACGCTTATATATTGTCTTATGCTTAATATATTCTTTTCTGTGCTAACTTGAATTTAATTCAAATTTATTTTCGTATATCACTATTAACCGGTTAGTTTTACATCTACATGCTTATTATCTGTGAATTTTTACTACCATATGCTTGTTTTGTCTGCTAACTTGAATTTATATGCACTAAAAATCACGTTTACAAAATATCACATTTACGGCTCGGCTCATCGTCGATGAACCGCGAGCTTGGCGAGTAAAATGCAACAGCGCCAACAGGTTCTTTCCCGAAGCGCCAACGGGTTCTCTGCGGATGAAAGGCCCCATTCAGTTTTGTTTAGCCTTTTTTATATAAATTATAATAATAAAAATTATTATATGAAATTAACCTTTCATCTAAATTTAAACAATTATCTTTAAATAGTTATTTACTATTACACTTCCTTTCTTGCGTTAGGGTTGCCGCAATTATTTTTGGCAGCACTGGCATCAACAATAGTTTGGCGATTTTTTACGATCCTTAAAACGGAATAGTACCCCAAAATCAAATAGTGAAAAGGAATAATGCAATGAATATATTTTCAATGCAGAACTTGAGAGTAGTTACTGTTTGATTGTCTGACTAGGGTTTTCATCCGCAGAGAACCCGTTGGCGCCGTTCCATTTTTACTCGCCAAGCTCGCGTTTCATCGACGCTGAGGTGAGCCGTAAACGTGATACTTTGTAAACGTGATTTTTAGTGCATGTAAATTCTAGTTAGCAGACTAAACAATATATTAAGCATATGGTAGTAAAAATTCACAGATAATAAGCATGTAGATGTAAAACTAACAGGTTAAACGTGATATACGGAAATAAATTGGTATTAAATTTAAACAGAAATTAATTATTAAATTATTAACTTTTGTTATGAATTTTGCTGATTATGATACTTCTCATTTTAACCTATGCCATTTGACATAAAATCAACCTGCTACTTACTAAACCGCTAGCCTGACCAAGTATGTGACATTACGAGACATAAAAAAAAAAGTTACATAAAGTTAGTAAAATGTAAATGTCACTTCTTTCAAATATGCCCAACTATTATAAGTGTAAAATATTTAATGCTACTTGATCAATTACTTAAAGTTTATTTCATTTTCAAATTTATTAATAATTATGTTAATTCATGTTTAGTAATAATACATACTACTTATGGATCTATTTTATTTTTAGGATGGTATTACAAATGTGAAATGCAGGCATCGCTAATATTTTTAATTGAATTTATTCAGTTCGCGTTTACTCATAGTTCCTGAATTTTTTTTTCATTAATGGTCCTTAATTTCTGTGTGCAGAAATGTGTATGAACTCTGATTAACAGTTTTCAGCATTTTTTTTTTTTTTTTTTTTTTTTTTTTTTTTTAAAGTTACTTGCATGCAGGTTAAAGCAATTTACATTGAAACAAATACCCATCCTTTTCATAATTTATTTCACAATACTAATAACCTTCAACAGTAATCAAATTTTCTTCAGTAGCATTGTTAATAAAACTTGAACATTACACATTTCATTACTTTTCAAGAGTCATTTGAACTATATTCCTTACACAGCAGTGGTTTGCTAATTTTGATGACCATGGGAATACATCAAACTATTCTGTCACAGATAATCAGTAATAAATAGTATTTATTATTAAAATTTAATAATCTATTTATGTCACACCTGCCATCCTCTGAAAGGTTATTGTAAGAAAAGCATTAACAATATATTGTTACAATTTTACGCAATAAAAATTGATTTATTATCATAATTTTAGGTGACAATAAACAATAATAAAAGTAAAAGCATTACTTAATTATTTAAAACGCACATTTTTGCGGAGCACGAAAACGAATTATTCGAGCGTTTCGAACCTCATGGTTCTGCATGCGTACCGCTAATTAAGAACACAACGTGAACAGCCGTGTTACAAATTAGCATTCACCCCTCCCGCTTTATTTTCTTCCTTTCATCCCGAACCGAGAACCGGGATCTACGAAAATATTTCTATCTATTCGTTGTTAAAAAATTAAGAAAAAAAAATAATAAAATAAAAGAAGAATAATAGAAATCTGCAAATGCGAAGAACCACAGTGATAACGAAACAAAATGGACGCAAGATGAATGGTTGCAACAAGCGAATAGGTTGAATCCGCTGGGTTACCAGATTTTAAGTATTATCGCCAAATTTGGCAATGTTTACATTCACCGGGTTCTCTCCGGAAGTGCTTCCAATCTGACTATGTATAACAAAGTATGCAAAAACATCCGCTTTATCACACATATAACTTTGAACAGAATTTCTTAGCGAAAACTGGCTTGAATTTTTTACAAAAAAGAAAATACCATAGAAGCCATACTTACGGTTCAGCAGCTAATATACCAACCATACTTACGGTTCAGCAGCTAATATACCGACTATACTTACGGTTCAGCAGCTAATATCCCAACCATACCAGATGTACTTCAACACGTATACCAACTGACTGGATTGATCCTCTAAAAGTCACCCTACAGGTTAATCTTCAATTGGGGGTCTAAACAGTTATAACTTTCACACTACTCAAAAAAAAGGGGGGAGGAAATATTTCGAGAAATTTGTTGCATTTTAATTCAATGATTTTAGTTCTGAAAATAAAATTTGTGGAATATTGTTTGGGCACAAAAGCTGTTTGTATTTTAATTGAAAGAAACTGCTTCCAGTTCTAAATCTAAACGTCCCTTAATAAAAAAAAAAAGGAACATAATTAATGCTCTTCATTTTCTCGGTTAATTATTATTACTGGTTTTTGTACTAAACAGATGAATTTTCAAGACATGTAATGCCGCACGAAACTACGGTAATAAATCCTTATTGTTTACAAACAAAAGTGTTTCCGCTGATGCCACTAATTTTCTCTATAAAATTAGGCATATTTCTTTAAATATCTTTTCAAGAACAGAGCCTTAAATCGATATCCTTTTTTTTTTTTTCTCCACACAACGCACCAAGAATATGAAGCGAATATCAAATTTCAATTCTTATTTTTCAATTCCTTTGTTCATCACTAGAATGTTTCGCACAGTCCTTTAGTCTCTCCCATAAAACGGTGAATACTTTTAGAACTATGTATGAGGAAGAAATAGCTAAACCAAATGCAACAGTTTATTTAAAAACTATTTAAACAAAATGCAACAGTTTATTTAAAAACTTTTATTTTTTGTTCTGTCAAGTTTCTAAAATCTCTAAAAGTTCACTCTAGTTTTAATCAGTGATGTTTTGATATTTCGTATGGTGAAATGATGAGTTCAGAGATGTTCTCGGATTACCTTTTTGTTGTTTACCTTTGTTACTAATCCCAGATTGTCCAGCAAAGCTAGAGATTCTCCATAAACCCAAACATATCTAAAAATTCTAAAAACCATAGAGGATCCCGAAGGACTTCATCTTTGTTAAAATCCAAGCAAGATAAAATATGGGCCGGGGTACCCATGTCAGCTTTACACCAATGGCACTCAGGGAAGATCTTCTGTTCTCGCTGAAATGTGAGTGCTCTAATATGAGCACTCATGAAGCGCGAGAAGGCCGTCTGATATTTTCCAGGCAACAGCTGATAGGGCCCGTCCAGGCTTTTTCTAAAATACCACAAGTGATTGGGGGAGTCCTGCCAAGTTGATCTAATTCCATCTTCCAAACAGAGGAGATTTCGCTATATGTAAGAGCCTCGCAAGGGCCCTACCCCTCTACGGCAGCAATCCTGGACAAGCAGCCCTGGACAGCAGTCCTTTCATTGCATTTCACAAGAAGCTCTAAGATATTTAGGCTTGTCTTGTCTCATATCGCTGTCCAATTAGATAGATGCTTATTCAGTTAGAATCCAGACATCGTGTAATTGTTTCTCAATTTGGTACGCATATTGTATTGTAAGCTCCTCCTGATAGCAATAAGCTCTGATCTAAAAACCGAACAAAAGTGGGGATTTCTTATCTTTAATTTCACAGAACCAGTAGAAGTTGGTATGAACACACCACTGATACAAATTCCCTCACTTCCTCTAATATCACTGCTATCAGAGTATATCTTCAAAGAACAAAAACTCGGATTACGAGAAACGGATTTAAAATTATTTAAATGAGACAGGAACATGCCCGCATTCCTGCATGTACAGAACTGTTTTTAAATGTATTTAAAATAATGAATGTAGTATAGCTATTTCGGAGACAACACTTACCTACTGAGCAACTTTCGACCTAAGTTAGCCTAAAGGCAACAAACGGAATATGTTACTCAGAGGTAAAACCATCTACTAACTACTAGCCACAACCTTAGGTAGAGGCCAAAACAGATCAGTCGGGCATTAATTGTCAAAATCAAATTTCAAAGTTTACTTTAGTACAATATACAGAGTTACTTGGATATATTGCATACACTCAAGAAATACGTCTGAAGTTATTATATTAAGATTTTCCAGAATAGTTAAGACAGGAAAGCTATTTTGGAGACAACTAACTATACCTATATTCAAGCGATAATCATATACGAAGGAGAAATATTCGAGGCAATGCCTTAGACGAATGCAAAAATACTCGCCTTATACCACTGCTTTTGCTTTCGCTCGCAGCCCTGAAAATAATTTTAGTTCTTAAAAACACAAATTCTCAATTTATTTTATGTTTCCTGCTGAAAATTAATTATGAATTAATAATTATTAATAATAAATTCAAGTGCGTAAATGCATCATGTATGTAAGGTAATACAAATGAAGCACATGTATTTCAAGTAAATTTTTCTAATTTTAATCTTACCTCAGTTGCAAGGCTTTGATTCGCCCCATTAGCTAAAAGGAACGAGACCACAGAATCATGATTTTCTTGAGCTGCCATATACAATGGCGTGAATCCATTTTGAGACTGAACATTTACGTTGGCACCCAACTGTACTAAAACTCTAACTACTTCCTCTTGGCCAGCAAGAGATGCAATATGTAGCGCTGTATTTCCCTTCTGGAAAAAAAAAAAGAAAGAAAGAAAGAAAGAAAAAATTTAATGCTTTTATGGTTTATAGATTATAACTAGTAGAATCTAAAAGTATTTATTTTCTGATTCACCATATACTGCACTAGGACTTAGACTGCCTCCGTGAAAACATCACGCAATACCTTTTTTTTGGGGGGGGTATTCTGGAATTTCTCTAAACTCTTATATGATGCTCATTCAGAACGAATTCTTCTAAGAATGCTGAAAGTATAAATAAATAAAACTAGTATTTTTTTTCTTAAACCATGCACACCGATTCTGATCAAAGTTCTTCCCAAAATGTTTCCTAAATGTTATAGATGGAAGTCCGTGAATTTTACAGAAATATTTTCAACACTCGGTTAGATTTTCCCTTTTTGAAAGTTCAGTTATTAATAAAACTGATCGCCATTAGTCTTAGTGATGCCACTATTAATGAGACTGATTAATAAGACTCGTAATCGGAACGTAATCATTAACGAAACTTCATTTGCGGAAAAATCCTAAATTCGACTCACAAGAGAAGGATACGGCGTTCGAACCATTGATATCCTGTAATCCACTGGAAGGCATCATCTTGATTGTATACGTAATGAATAATTGCGCTTAAAATAATAATAAGGAATAAAAATAAAACATAAAAAGCGCATCGAAAGTGGCAACAAATTTATTAAATAACTAAGCTTCCAGACAGGAAAATAATTTTCAAAGCAACCACATTATTTCCACGAAACTAAATGGACTTTTGGACCCATGCATAAATACAAGAAATTGTTGTTTTGATTTTCATGAGGAATAAAATTAAAGAGATGCCTTGAAATGCACCATAAATTGCGAGAAACAAATATTCTCCATCTGCCAAAAAATGAAACAGCAGCCAACATTACTGTAGAAGAAGCTGTATAATGGCTTTCATAAAACGGCTGTGAATCCTGAAGACAGCAGGTTAGTGATAATGAGCATTAGACGTATGAAGAGGGCCTGGCAAATAATGCTGGATCTGAGGGCTCGTCTATAACCCCTTCCCTCAAAAAATATTTTTATTAAAAAGAATACGAAAAAGAAAGACAGGGGACTTCAAAAATGTAGTCATAAAGCCCCTTCTAGATTTCCGATGGTCCTATTGACCAGGTACTGGTATTACCCAGCTGCTGGTATTAGCAAAGTTACTTATTATATTTAACGGCTTTGTATTTAGCATTTCTTTCTTAAAGAAGGTGATGATTATATTAAATACAACGAATGCTACGCATAGTTTGGCTTGTCCTCGATCAGGAATTTTGGATACTTTTGCCATCTTCAGAGTTCTTCTGTCAAACGAAAGTACAACAAAGTGATGAAAAAACAATGCATAAATCCGAAATGAATTGCACAGTGGTTTATGTAGCTGGAAAGAACTCAGAAAGTTGTATTTGCCTGAAAGATTGACGCGGAATAGATCTGGGCTTTTTAGACTTCCTTCAATTATGAATTACCCCTTTACTGCGGCGCTCACCCGGCATAACCCCCCTAATATTTCTTTTTATGGGAGTTTGTGAAGGAAAGAGTCTATCGAATGCCGTTGGCGGATGTTGCACATTTGCTAGCCTGAATTATGGAAACAACTGAATTATTGTCCCACCAGTGATGCTTTTCAACTTGTAACTTGAAATAGAGTACCTCCTAGACATAGCACAAGATACAAATGGCGCTCATATAGAAGTGTATTAAAATTTTTAGAATGGTTCTTTCCACCTACGTAAATCACAAGCAATAAACACCTTGGTTTTGGATATATGTGCCTTTTTTTCCACGGTACCATGCCCCAAAACCATGTGTATTAAATATCATGTACAATAAAAATGAAATTTCGTTAATTATGTGATAAGAACTAAGACAGTAATCTGTTCATGTTTCAGTTAACTATATTGAAGAATGTTACAGATTAACTTTCGAGCAAACGATTTCTTAACCAATGTTGTATTTAAAATACCACGTGGCAAACTCAAAATTAAAATTACCCCTTTCAAAATCTGTTTAGAGTATCAACGACTGAATGTCATTATAATTGAAAATTCAAGTGAAATTCATCCATAGTAAAATCTGATGATGCCAAAAATATCATGATCTCAAGTTGTGGTGCTGCGTGGTAACAGTTGCCACGCAACCAACTTGCCCGTAACAGTTGCCACGCAACCAACTTGCCCGTAACAGTAGTAGTGACTGCTATGAACTGGAAATTACACAAACTCTTAAGAAGGGTTTAACTCCCTTTTTATTCCACTTTAGAAGTTACAGATGCGTTCACTTGACGCTCACAAACTACGCCGAACCAGCGGTTAAATAAAAATAGAAAAGTACAACTAAAAATAAATAACAGGATGAATAAATAACAAGTCACTACCTACGAGGCTCTATAAACGTGACTAACTTAACCGCGTTCTAAGATACAGCTGAGATTTCAGCAAACGTTTAGAATAAGAAGTTGAAAGATTCAACTAAGTGCCGAAGTAGGCACACAGGCCGAAACGCGCGGTTCTTAAAACTTCTACCAAGCAACCTTCACGCTCGTGAATCAAGAAAGCACACTTACAAACTCGTTTCCCTTCTATTTAACTCAAAATTACTTCTGCTAAAAATTTGAATACTCTGCGCGTTCTACTAAAATTTACATACTCTGGCATTGGCAATTCCAGGGGAAAATAAAGGCTTGACAGGAAAGATAGCTTAAACTTAAAATAAATGTTAGTTAAAATAAATATAAACCCTACAAAGTAAATAATTTAATGTACTTTAAAACGTGTACATTTAGTTAAAAAAAAACCTAAATAGTACTTAAATATATTGTTGCATGCGTACGAGTTCGTAATGGATTGAATGCACATAGTACCGATGATAAAATTTATTTCCCCTTACAGTTCTGGAACTTTCCACAAAAGTGCTCGCACAGCTCTTTTCAGTATCACAGAGCACAATCAGTACTTCCACTTCAAACTACTAAAAACGTTAGACACAACGCAATGCAATGTGCATTTAATAGGCAAAGTTCTCACGGATATTTCAATACTCCAAAGTCAACTCTGATCTAAAAACTGAGAGCTGATGTTCTATCCGGTCTTAGTTTTCCAGTCAATGTCCGAAGATCTCTAGCATTTTTAAGTTTATGAAACCACCAGAGTCCGTAAATATTTTAATGAAGAGAAAGGAGTGTCAGGGTCTGAAATTAAGCTCATTTTAAGTTTTGTAGGCAGTCAACGTCCGAAGATCTAAAGCATTGTGTTTAAATGTTTGACCAGCAATGTCCGAAAGTATGTGTATTGTGAAAGGTGCGTTAAAGTGTCAGAACTATCCGGATCGATAAAAATTTTAAATTGTGGGCAATCAGCGTCCATAACAATTTTAAATTGTGATCAACAGTATCTACAGGTTCCAGGCTTTAACCAGGGCACCAAGCCTACAAAAGGGGGGGGGGTAAATACCTTAGATTTTTTATGTTGAGGCAATGAAATAATTTAAATTATGTCTGTAATTTAATTTATACAAGTTCACGTAATTCTTTATTTTTAAGCCGACACTGTTTTCTGTAAAGCTTAAAGAAATGTGCTGCTCTGGTTTTGTGTTTCAAATAAGAAAGTATAAATTTTAGAAATTTGAACACTGCTGAAATTAAGATATTGTTTTCTGTACATCTTAAAGAAATGTGTTGCTTTGATTTTGTATTCCAAAAAAGAAAGCATAAATTTTAGGAATTTGAATTCGTGTTAATAGATCTATTAATGCCTGAAATGATGATGAGATCTGCAGAAATTAAGCTTATATAATTCATTTTGTAAGAGAGAAAGAATTAGTATAAATCTGAAGGTTCTATATATTAGCTGGTATTCTGACATATAATTTCCAAGTCGTCTTGAATATTTTAAATACTAGATTTTCCATTAAGGAGTATAAAACATTAGTTTGTGTAAGAATTATAAGAACTGAAAAGTTTTCAGTTGAACGTATTAAAGGAAAATACTAGAAATCCTTAGTATCTTATTTTTAAATTATTGTTATATCAATGTTTAATTATTACATATTTATACATATATTTTATAGTATTTATACATATTTTTATATAAACTACAGCTGTACTTGATATAAGCCAGAAAAGCAGGCTTATGACTACGCTTATGTAAAAGGGATACTTTTTAAAAGGTTTAAACTTAATACAGAAAAATTTAGCTTCGAATTTACTCAATTCTCCACCCCCCCGAAAAAAAAAAAAAGCTCAAACCACTTGGAGAGATTTTGCCTTTGATTTAAGGGATTATTTTGAAGAATGGATCGCAGGCTTCGTAATTAAAGATTCTGAACAATTAAAAGATTTCATGATAAAGGTTCAAATGAAGGGTCGAGTAAATTTCGAAGTGCGTCGGCATTTGATTGATGAATGGTCGAAGATAGCGTCTCGAAATAAATTAGCAGAGTTATTAGAAGACTTAAACCGTACGTGAATACTAGAAAAACGTCACTCCTGTTCATAGTTCGGAGTCACAAAAGGGCAATAAAAGGCAGTCAAGCTTCAGAGATTCTCAGAAGTATATATAAAATTTAGAGGGAAAACTAGATATGTCTCCTAAAAAAAGGAATCTTCCCGAATCATTTTGATATACCGATGGCTCAACCGATCACTTAAGGCCTTAATACCCAAAAGAATAGAAAGAATTCAAATCACCAACTATTGTTAATAAAATGCATGAGAATGAAGAAGATTATTTAGCGCTACACACAACAGTGGCTGACGTAAACGGGTCCGATCTTCCAGCGTTGTGGCATTCTAAAGCATCTATTGATATAATATGCCAAAAAAAAATCATGACTCCTTCAATGTTGACAGGAGAAACTGTTTGGAAACAGCCTTTTAATGTAGCGCCGACATGCTTACGTCTGGCATGCGTCGACATTGAAGGAAAATTTGGATGAATAATAGCAAAAGCACTAGTCATTCGAAACGAGCTTGATCAAGGATA